GAAACATCGCTATCTCGCCTAAGAAACATGAACTGAAACATCGGTCTCTTGACGAGAAAACACCAAGTTCCTCTGGAGAAACATCGGTTCCTTCTTCAAAAACCAGGAGGTTGTTGCGCAGAAACAACGGTGTGTTCTTGTAGTGAAACATCAGTTTCTAAGCTAGAAAACGTGAAGGTCATATGGAGAAACATCGGTTCCTTCTGGAAAACCCATGAAGTTGTTGTGCAGAAACATCGGTTCCTTCCGCAAAAAGCATTTAAGTTGGAGGGGAAAAACATCGGTTTCTTGACGAAGAAACATGAACTGCTTGTGGAGAAACATCGGTCTCTTGACGAGAAAACAGGAAGTTCCTGTGGAGAAACATCGGTTTCTTCCGGAAAAGATCTGAAGTTGTTGTGGGAAAACACCATTTTTTTCACCAGAAAACCTGAAGTTCTTGTGACGAAACTTCGATTTCTTCACGAACACACATTAAGCGCTTGTGGAGAAACGTCGGTCTCTTGAGAAACATCGGTTCCTTGCGGAAAAAACTTGAAGTTGTTGTAGGTAAACGTCGGTTTCGCGACGAAGTTACATGAACTCATTGTCGAGGAACATCGGTTCCTTCCACAAAAAACATTTAAGTTGTAGTGGAGAAGCGTCGGTTTTTTCACCAGAAAGCGTGAAGTACTTCATGGGGAAACATCGGTCTCTTGACGATAAAGCATGAAGTTCTTGTTGAGAAACATCGATTTCTCCACGGAGAAACATGAAACGGTTGTGTCTGGATGAAGAAACATGAAGCTGTTGTGGGGAAACATCCTTCCGGAAAACACCTGAAGTTGTTGTAGGGAAACATCGGGTTTTCCACCATAAGAACGATGAACGAAGAAACAAGAACTGCTTCAAGACTACAAAGACCGGTCTCTTGACGGAAAAGCATGAAGTTCTTGTTGTTACAGAAAAATCGCTTTCTCGACGAAGAAACATGAACTGCTGGTCGAGAAACATCGGTCTCTTAACGAGGAAACGCGAAGTTCTTCTGGCTAAACATCGGTTCCTTTTGGAAAAAAGATTTTAGTTGCTGCGCAGAAGCATCGGTCTCTTGAGGAAAAAATATGAAGTTCTTGTGGGGAAACATCGGTTTCTTGACCAGGAAACATGAACTGCTTGTTGCGAAACATCGGTCTTTTGACGAGAAAACGTGAAGTTCTTGCGGGGAAACATCGGTGTTGTCCGGAAAAAACATGCAGTTGTTGTGCAGAAACATCGGTTCTTGCGGGACAACATCACCTTTTTCACCAGAGTACATGAAGTTCTTGTGGGGAAACATCGGTTTTTCGGCAGCAAGCGTGAATTTCTTGTGGAGAGACATCGCTTCCTTCTAGAACAACAATGAAGTTGTTGTGCACAAACACCGGTGTCTTAACGAAAAAGCATGAAGTTTGGTGGGCAAAGCTCGGTTTCTTCCGGAAGAAGCCTGAAGTTGTTGAGCAAAAACATCGGTGTTTTTGCGACAAAACATCAATTTCATGTGGAGAAACATCGGTGGGTTGACAACAGAATATGAAGTTCTTGTGGGAAACATCAGTTCCTTCTGGAAAAAACAGAAATTGCTCGTGCAGAAACATCGGTCTCTTGACGAGAAAACTCGAAACTCATATGACGACACATCGCTTCCTTCTGGAAAAACTACTAGTCGCGAAAGAACGCGGAATAAACATGCAGTTGTCGTGGCGGAAAAACCCATGTTACCCTAGAACAACTTAAATGTTTTTTCCGAAAGGAACCGCTGTTTCTCCACAGGTGTTTTCTCGTCGAGAGACCGATGCGTCTTCACATAAACTTCATGCTTTCTCGTCAAGAAACAGATGTTCCTCCACACGAACTTCATGGTTTCTCATGAACATACCGATGTTTCCCCGCAACCGTTTCATGGTTTATCCAGAAGGAACCGATGTTTCTCCACAGGAACTTCGTGTTTCTTCGTCAAAAAGGCAGATGTTTCTCTATTAAGAACTACACGCTTTCTGGTGAAAAAAACGGTATTTCTCCACAAGAACTACAAGTCTTTTTCGGATGCAACCGATGTTTTTCCACATAAAGTTGATGTTTTGTCGTCAAGAAACCGATGTTTTTTCACAAAAACTTCACGTCTTCTCGTGTCAAAACTGATATTTCCCTACAAGATCTTACTGCAGGTTTTTTCCGGAACGAACTGATGTTTCGCCACCAGAACTTCATGTTTATTCCGGAAGGAGCCGATCTTTCTCCACAAGAACTTCATGTTTTCTCCTCAAGAGACCGATGCTTCTGCACAAGAACTAAAATGTTTTTTCCGGAAGGAACCGATGTTTCACCACATAAACTGCATGTTTTGTCGTCGAGAAACCGATGTTGCTCCATAAAGAACTTCACGCTTCCTGTTTCTTACTACAATTTATATATTTCCTTCGGAAGTAAACGATCTTTACCCACAAGAACTTAATTGGTTTTTCCCGAAGGAACGGATCTTTCTCGATAAGAACTTTCGTCACATGAATTTCGCGCTTTCTCGTCAAGATTAGGATGTTTCTCCACAAGTAGTTTATGTTTTCTCCTCAAGAGACCGATGCTTCTGCACAACAAATAAAATGTTTGTTTCCGAAGGAACCGATGTTTCCCACAAGCACTTCATCTTCTGTCGTCAAGCCACCGAGGGCTCGTTGCACAACAACTTCAGGCTACTACCGCAAGGAGCCGAGCTTTGCCCAGCATGACCGATGTTTCTCCGCAGCTGTTCTCTCGTCAAGAGACCGATATTTCTCCATAAAGAACTTCGCGCTTTCTGGTGAAAAAACGATCTTTCGCCACCACAACTTAAATGTTTTTTGCGGAACATTTAAGTGTTTCTGGGGTAATACCGTTTTTTTCACGAGAAAGCGTGTACTTCTTGTGAAGAAACATCGGTGCTTGACGACAGAACATGAAGTTCTTGTGGAAAACATTGGTTCCTTCCGGAACAAACCTGAACTTGTTGTGGAAAAACGTCGTTTTTTTTTTACCAGATGGTGTGAAGCGTTTCTGGAGAAACATCCGTATGTTGACGGGAAAGTACGCAATTCATATGACGAAACATCGGTTCCTGCTGGAAAAACCATGAAGTTCTTGTCGAGAAAGATCGGTTCCTTCGGGAAAAAACAACTAAGTTGTTGTGGGTAAAGATCGGTTAGTTCCGGAGGAAACATATAAGTTGTAGTGGGAAACAGGAAGCGTGAAGTTCTTTATGGAGCAACATCGGTTTCTTGCCGACAAAATATGAAGTTTATGTGGTGAAACATTGGTTCCTTCCGGAAAAAACATTTTAGTTGTTGTGCAGAAGCATCGGTCCCTTAAGGAGACAACATGAACTTCTTGTGGAGAAAGATCGCATCGGTGTCATCGGTGTCAAAACATGAACTGCTTGTGGTGAAACATCGCTCCCTTCCAGCAAAAACATGAAGTTCTTGTGAAGGAAACGTCGGTTCCTTCCCTAACAACCATCAAGCTGTTGCGGGGAAATGTCGATTGCTTCCGGAGAAAAGTTGCAACTTAAATGTTTTTTGCGGAAGGAACCGACGTTTCTCCAAAAGAACTTCAGCTTTTCTTCGGAAGCAATCGACATTTCCCCGCAACAGCTTGATGGTTGTTCCGGAAGGAACCGACCTTTCTAGAATTTAGCGATCGCTGTTGTCTTCGTTGTTCGATCTCAAAATTTTACTTAAAAAGAAGCTTGAAAATCTGAAAAATCAACCTCTCGTAGGGCAAGTCAAGGAAGGAGGAACATTATTTCTGGCTCACCCGTTAATCGATCGAAATTCTTCAATGCTTCCTTTTCCTGATCTTCGAGATAATGCACAGTTCCTCAATTTTCGTGTTCTTAAGGAGAAACGTCGTTCACGACAACCAGCTTTTGCCGCTTCGAAAAACCGAAAAGCTTTTGTGGAGAAGCGTCGGTTTCTTCCGGAATAAACATTTTAGTTGTTGTGCAGAAGCATCGGTTTTTTCACGAAAAAACATGAAGTTCTTGTGTCTATGTTTTCTCCGGAAGTAACCGATCTTTCTCGACAAGAACTTCAAGGTTTTTCCAGAAGGAACCGATGTTTCGTCACATGAATTTCGTGCTTTCTCGTCAAGATACCGATGTTTCTCTACAACAAATAAAATGTTCTTTTCGGAAGGCACCGATGTTTTCCACAAGAACTTCATGTTCTGTGGTCAAGCCACCGATGTTTCTCCACAAGAAGTACACGCTTTCTCGTGAAAAAAACGATGTTACCCCACAAACACTTAAATGTTTTTTGCCGTTGTTTTTGCACAACAACTTCAGGCTACTACCGGAAGGAACCGAGCTTTGCCCACCAAACTTCATCCATTTTCGTCAAGACACCGGTGTTTGTGCACAACAACTTCATTCCAGACGGAAGCGATGTCTCTTCACAAGAAAAACATTCAAATTCGGATAGAGCTTAAAATTTTATGTATGCTGGTAGATTATCAGTATGTGATTGAGAGACACCTTTTCTCACTCAAATCACAATATATAAATCGACTAAATGTTCCTTATATCGATGACACGATAGAAAAATAAGAACGTGTTTTATTAGACCTGTTGCAAGATGAAAGAGAAAGAGAAAGAGAAGAATATTCAAGCTTGTAACGTATCATTCGGTTATAACGTGGTCAGTGACATATATATACGAGGAACAGAAAAATGTTGTTTTTCTCTATCTTCCCTCTCTGCATTTCTGATCGCTTTAATAGAGCAAAAAATTTATCACGAAAATCGTTGAAATATGATGTTTGTATTTGACACTTTAATTTCAAATGAGGAAAAATACAGGCAGTTTATCCTTGAAGAAGACACACCTAAACACACATTTAAAAAGAACCAATCAATCAATAAAGTATAGGGAAACACAAGCCTGTACATTGAGGCGAAAAAAAGCACAATAGATGAATAGGTAGCCTAAATAAAAATGCCTTTCTGTTATTATTGTTTATTCTTCATCGTCTACCAGATTTATATATGGAACGATATTTTGTCGTGCATAACGTTCAAATGGATCAAGCACATTCTCTATTCGACTCAAAAGAGTATTGGCCCGTGCTGATGCTGATATTGCTTTTCTCTTTTTTGTAGCTGCATGAACAACTGATTCTTCTTCTTGATTACTGATATCATTTACTGTTAGCGGACGATCACTTTTAGGTATTTTATTTGTTTTTTGTTTTGGAACTGACGAAATATTAGATGCAGGCGTTGTTGTTGTTGGTGTGGTTGTTCCATTTGAAGCCCATTGTGTTGTCGATGATCGAAAATTTTGAGTATCTTCAAGATCAGCCGATCGCACTCGATGACTTCCCGGTTCCTGTTTTACTTTTTGTTTTGTTAATTGAATAATATCGAAGATAAAATCCCCTTCAAGACTGGTATTGATAACCAGTGCTGTACATATCCCACTGAAAATTTTCCATAATTTTTTTGTATTGACACAGGCAATGCATTTAGTTTTGAAAAGGTTTGTACTATTATTTCATCCGATAAATTTGTTTCAACTGCCGTTGTATTTTTCGATGTTGTTGAACGAGGTGTAACTAGTTTAGATTCACGTTCCTCTTGTGGTTCAATATCTGTTTCCTGTTCACGTATTGCAATCTAATATGAAACATAGAGACTATAAAATAAAGGGAGAAGATATTTCAAAAGTCATACTTGATTATTGGATGCTTGTAAATTAAATATCATCTGTTCATCAGTTGATTTCGAATTCTCATCTTCACCTACAGTTTCTCCATGGAAAACTAAATAGTCCTGATTATCCGTACCTTGTTTTGTGAATAATGAATAATCAGAACTTCGTGCTAACGCGACACTAAAAGGTATCTCATGTCACATCCTGTTTGAATTCACTTTTTAGACATACTTTTTAGCAATTTTAAGCAATATATCATGGACACGTCGAAGTTGAGTAGCTTTATTTATTGATTTGTAATAATTGGTTATTTCACCATAGGATTCTTGCAATAACTTCCCCACAATGTCTTTTGGTGTAGCAAGACCTTGTTCAATAATTCCATTAATTTCAAAATCAGATCTTTTCTTATACGGTTTACGATTACGATCCATTTTTCTACTCTCTTACGTTAAAATCAAAAAGCAAATTTCGCAGAAAATCTGCGTGTGTGCATGTGTCTTGTCTTTTTCTCTTTTTGTTTATATTTTTTTAACGGTTTTCTTTGTCATATGCGAGAAAAGAAAAACCCTTCTGCGTATAAGGTATCTTTATATATGTTATATAACAAAGAGTACATAGCCCAACAAAATATTTGAATTTTAAAATGAATAACGATATGCGCAACCGAATTACAAAAACAATAGAATTTTTCAAATTTACTTGCGTGACTCTATCTAGATTAATTGAACTACTCGAAGAGCTAGAATTAAATCAACATCAAATGGCAATGTCAACATGTATATTTTCCCTATTAACTGCTTTTATTCAATTGATACCACTGATACCCCAATTAACAATATATCACATTACCATGCCAGTTGATCATTATGAACGTGCTGTAATCACTAATTTGTATGCTGAATTAGCTAACACGTCCTGTCGATTCTTGACTGGACTACCCCCGTCTGCATTCAATGATATTTTCCCGTTATTTGTTCAGGAATTTGACCAAAAAAGGCGATTGATTCTACAGTACAGATTTTCCACTACCATGAAAACAAATATATTATTATTGTTATTAATTTGGTTAAGAACCTACTCAACAAATAACGTTTTGAGTGTAATGTTCAAAGTGTCAAAATATAAAGTATGTCGATATCGAAAAACGTATTTTCCATTATTAGTCAGAGCATTAAGATCTCAAATGAAATGGCCATCACCGAATGAAATGGTAAATTTAGTGGTTTACCACCCAATACTCGGTCGATATATCGGTTATGTAGACGGATCACGTCATTTTATACAAAGACCACGTAAGTTCCAAATTTCCTTTTGTCTCATAAAAAGCTCTGGTTTTGTGGTTACATCCTAACAAAAAAATCATACAGGACCCATCCTTCTTATCCATGCTCGTAAATTTCAGAAAAATCAAAGAGATTATATAGTCAGTCTAATCATCCTTCTCTACATTTCTCTGGTGTGTTTCTAGGAAAAAATCAACGATTATACTATAGTGGTAAGGTTCATAGGCATTGTGTGGGAACAATCATCGTCGTTTCCACAGAAAAAAAAATTATTTTTTTCAAGTCGGGGTACTTAGGTTCAGTCTATGACAGTAAAATGCTTCGACGTGCGGGAATAGGCAATTTACCCATACATACACGTTTGTTGGCCGACAAGGGTTTTGGGAATGGCAATGGATTATTAACACCCGTGAGAAGAAATGAATTGAATCGCTTTCCATTATCATCCAAAAAATTATTTAATTATTTTTTATCAAACAAAAGAATTTTTGTAGAACACTTGATAAAAGAAATGAAAGTTTTTGAGGCCGTACACGGGGTATTTCGCCATGAACGGCAACAGTGGTATGGCGTAAGCTTGTGCACGGCATATTTGGCAAATGTACGAGCGTCGTTATTTTTACAGTAAAATAATAAATGTGAGTTTCAGACATCATATTTCAACGATTTTGGGGCGATCAGAAATGCACAGAGGAAAGATAGAGAAAAACAACATTTTCTTGTTCCTCGTATATATATATATGTCACTATACAAGCTTGAATATTCTTCTCTTTCTCTTTCTCTTCCTCCTTCTCTTTCATCTTGCAACAGGTCTATTAGAACTGCGACAAATAACGATTTTCTTTTCTTTTCTATTTTGTTTTCTTATTCACGTTATATATAGTGTGTGTTCACATTACAATGTGCGTTAAATATATATATCATATATATTAAGACTGTTGTCTGTGATGTCACGCTTTCTTCGTTCTTTTTCCTTCATATCAGTCGAAGAGTACAGGGGCCAGTTTCATCAAAAAACTTAAGTCTAACTTAAGTGAAAAAATGACTTAAGTAAAACTTAAGTCAAAAAAGATAAAAAATCGCGTTTCATCAAAAAACTTAAGTACACTGTTAAAAATCTGTGTTCTTCAAAAAACAAAAAAAATGATCTTCATTTGCCCCTATAGAGATCATATATGTGTTCTCCAAAGATTTGTACAACAAGAATCTTCAGTTTTCTGAAGAACAAAATCTTTGTTCTTTAAGTTTTTTGATCCCTATAGGGGACAACTTGTTCTTCAGAGAACAGGTTTTTCAAGAACTTCCAAAAAACTGAAGAACAAGGTTTGTGTTCTCTGAAAAACACAAAAGATGAAGATCACACTTTCTGAAGAACAACACTTTTGTTCTT